CTGCTCCAGCTCCGCCCACACCTCCTGACTTCCGCCTGAAAAGCCCCGGGTATTTATCACTGAGTTTGGATGAAATTATTAATTTTGCGAATGCTGATGACCAGGCTGTTTGAGTCGGATTTCGTTTTAAGAGCTAGAAAATTCCGTCTATAGCTTGTGGAATTTGGCAAAAAAAAAAAGCTGATTTTGCAATGCTTCAGTTTGCTATTTTTAACGTGTTTTTTTTTGCACTAGAAAATGTGACTAAACGCTAAAAAGAGCTAAAAACCTTTGTTTTGACCCAAAAACAACTCAAAGCGGATGCTCAAATTCTTCATTTTGTGGTTTGTTCAACGCATTATCCTTTAAAAGATACCAAAAGTTTATAAAAAATAATTTTTCAATATAGCAAAATCTCGCCAACTCCCTCATTTTCCTTTTTTTCTTGTTATAGCCGTTTATTTTTTAAATCCTTAAAACCCAATAATTTCGTTTTACAATTTCTAGACGATGCTCCAATCACTCTGGGATTTCTCCTGGCATTTCTGCAACGGCAACGAGTTCATGATCTTCACCCTATATTCAACGGCGCTCATCACCGTCGTCTATCTGCTGCTCAACATCCCATTTCTCATCATCGATTTTGTACAACCAGCCTGGGTACAACAATACAAGATCCAGGGCAAAAAATATGTAAGTTTTCTCCAAGGATAGGTAAATAGCGCTACGTTTTTTTTATGTTAACGTTTTTGGTGACCATAGATTTTCCAAACGGGGCCAGGTTAGCTTGTGCAGAATTTTGCGCTGATTCCGTTTCTCTGGTTTCAGAATCTGCGAAATGGCCAGATTAAAAAAATTATGAAGCTGTTTAAAAACTAGTGATAGTTAGAAAAAGGCATAAAAATAGTGCGCAAACGGTCCAAAATCGTCGAATTTCGTTAAATTGCCTTTCTTTGGCACAGAAAAGCCTTATGGCTTTTTTTAATCTGGATCCTCTCAAAATTCTGCACAATATAGGCCTGGTCCTTTTGAAACACAATTGTCACTAAAATATGTCTCCTTTTAGCTTGAAAACCCGATTTTTCTCCACTTCCGGGTTTCCGTTAAACACCAAACCTCACCAATCTTCTGATCGTAAGCAGTACCGTCGTGACGGTGCCTTTCAGCGCCACGGGGGGATTGCAAGAACAGGGCGCGTATCCTGTCAAGAAAATGCCAATCACGAACGTTCAAGATCTGAAGTGGGGGGGGTAGAGTGCCGCTTTGTGAAGCCCCCCTCATGTCATCGCTTATCAGCTAAAAAGAACAAAGGAGCAACCCCCGAGGATCGGATTAATATTAAGTGTTGCACGCCGGTCAGAATACGGCTCAGTACTGAAAGTGTGCATTGTAAGAACAGAAAATTGATGCTGGTTCGTTAGCGAGCTTGGGACTACATAAATTTCCCTATTCACGTAGATGCCAAATAATGAAATATAAAGTGTAGTTCATCGCGTTTCTCGCCTTTTTAAAAAGCAAAAGTTGGCGCTTTGGCATTAGCGGGGGCGGGTAGCAACTTGTTTCCTAGGATCCATTTTCCAAAAAAAGAGCAATTATTTCTAAACTGTGGATTATTTCTAAACGTCAAAACTACAAACTATTAAAAATACAAAACAATTCGCTTTCCACCCAATATTTCAAAGTTCCTAGGTTTTTCGGTACAAGGATGGTTGGGGGGGCACTTTTTTTTGTCGGTTTCAGAGTAGTTTTTGTGCTGGGTTCGAATTTCACAAAATCGGGTTCGAATAACGCCGTGCCTTAACCTGTTTAACAAGGGTTTATCGCAACAACAAGGATATAACAAGGTAATAGACTAGTAACAAGTGTGGTCGCGCTAGCTTATCATTCGCAAGGGTAGAGATCGTGGACTTGTTCCCAGAAATGGTAGAAAGGGTCGGTGGAAAATTCCTGGCGCCATAGGAATAGTATAGTATAGGCTTAGTCTAGGCATAGCTTAGGCTTGTTCAAGACTTAGCTTAGGATTGGGCTTAAGCCTAGGCTTGGCTTAGGTTATGCTTAGGCTGGGCTTGGCTTGGTTAGCTTATAAGGAGTGCTTTTTTTGAGTCATACGCAAATCATTTCAAAAGATAGTGCATTCGGTAGAGAATTTCATTCTGAGTAACGCTATAAGGTTAATTTTTGCAGAATGGCTATCCCCGATTTTATAAAATCAAAAAAACTAAAACGGTGTTTTCCTACATCCCTCGGCGCACACCGATGGCAGCGGACGCCACCGGGACAAGTGGGGCCTAGATGGCTTCCCAATCACGATTGACGATAGCGCAGTCGGTAGCGCGGTTCTCTTTGAAACTTTTTTGGACTTCTCTGGGAGGTTCGATTCTTCCAACTGTAATTTCTTTTGCTTTTTTATGGTCAATTGCGTTCCCGTACATAGGGATGTGATTTTTGCATTTTTGAGTTGGCAATTGCTTCAAAGTTGGTCAAAGTGAAGTCTCCAGGCCCGAGCCTTGTCACTGTTCACCGGGATTTCACTATAGTCGAGCCTGCTCATAGACCGGATTCCATGGTAATTGAAGCCAAAAAGCCATTCCCGCTATAAAAATTCAAAAAGCAAAAGAAATTACACGTGGAAGAATCGAACCTCCCAGAGAAGTCCAAAAAAGTTTCAAAGACAACCGCGCTACCGACTGCGCTATCGTCAATCGTGATTGCGAAGCCATCTAGGCCCCCCTTGTCCTGATGGCGATCTATGCCTGCCATCGGGGCGCGTCGAGGGGTGGTAGGAAACATCGATTTAGTTTTTTAATTTTATAAAATCCGGGACAGCCATTCTGCAAAAATGAACCTTATAGCGTTACTCAGAATGAAATTCTCTACCGAATGCACTATCTTTGGAAATGCTTTGCGTATGACTCAAAAAAAGCACTCCTTATTAGACTTGGAGAAAAGCTTAGGTCGGAAAAAAACCCCCAAAAAAAAGATGCCCCCCCAACATCAATAGCTCCGGTTGTATTTTAGGAAAGTGGATATCGCGGCTGATACCGGCTGGAAAACGACGTTATTCGAACCTGATTTTGTGAAATTCGAACTCAGCACAAAAAACTGCTCTGACACCGACAAAAAAAAAGTGGCCCCCCAACCATCCTAGTACCGGTTTTTTAGACCGTTTTCCACTTGATATAGTTAAATTCTACTAAAGAAAAATTACAAAAACCTAACTAGGCAATTCTGCGCAAACAGCAAAAAACTAGCCCCCTTAAATGCCAAAACTCCAAAAAGTTTAGAAAAACTCTCTAAAACGTCGTAATTTTTTGGTCAAAAAGTATTGTAAATGGCTAGAGCAATTTTTTTAGAAAGGTCTAATAAATGAGAATTGCTCAAAACACTATGTAAAAAGACTGCATTAATACAATACATAGATTACGCTGAATAAAGGAAGGCGCCCCTCCTCCGCTAAGCTAAGGAACCAGTACCGAAAAGCTTTACAGGTGACATGGCAGAAATACTCATCCGCATTCCCCCTAATTGCCTTCAACACGACCGTGGTGGCCGCATCCGTTTCGACAATTTTCTACGTATTGGGCAGATATACTGGCGTTAGCTTTTCGAGGTTTGCAAAGTAGCTTTTCTAAAAAATCTCTTCGTTTTTAGAGAAGTCCCTTCCCTTTTGATAATACTGCGTGATCTCATCTTCTCGGTGCTCATCGAAGAACTGGGTTTCTACTATACACATAGGTAAAACCTATCTTTTTTTAAATTTTATGGCTTTTATTAGGTAGCAAAAAACGATTGAACTTTTTTGCAGACTTTTCCACCAGCCCTTCTTCTACAAAAGGATACATAAAATCCATCACAGATGGACGGCGCCAGTTTGTAAGTGACTTCCAAGAAAGTAAGTAATTCTCCGCATTTCCAGCGATAACTAGCGTCTACTGCCATCCACTGGAGCACGCAATATCAAATCTTATGCCGATTATGCTAGGTTTGTAGGAATATTAATTTTCTGATCTATAAAAACTAAGGCTGATACTACATTAAAAAATACTAAAAGTAAGCCTAAAACCAATCCTTTAGGCCCAACTCTGATCGGTGCCCACATGATCACGTATTGGATCTGGTTCATAGCAGCCGTAACCTCAACCACATTTTCTCACTGCGGATATGACTTCCCAGTGCGCCCCTCAGCCACCCAACACGATTATCACCATGAAGCGTAATTGCCGCTAAAGTTTCAAATATATGATTTCAGGTTCAACGAAAACTTTGGCGTGCTCGGGATTTTGGACACCCTCCACGGCACGAATAAAATCTACCGGAAAAAGCTTGGACTGGCCACTGGCACCAAAACTAAATAATTTTATGTGAAGTTCGATGGGCATAAACTGATATTATCGTTTTTAATGCCGCACGCAACATTTAAGCCTGTCAGAGGATGAATTTTCGAACGAATAAAAAAATTGAAAAAATAATCTTTTCCTTTTTTCCCTAGTTCTCCAAAACTCTAACAGACTTCATTTTCCCCTTCTAACTTTATCTAATTCTTTCAAATACTAATAGCATTAATTTTGCACTTTTACAACTTTTTTTTGATAAATTTTTGCAATTTAAGGTGCCGTAAGGTCCAATTTACAAAAATGTGAGGTGAAATGAAACGGACCGACTTTGATTGCTAAAACGTGGCTAATACAGTAACGAACAAACACCTCGCAGAGACTTCTTCCGAATTTTGGCCAATTCTTTTTTGACCTCTTTTTTGCGCGCCTGTCCCTGCGGAGGCTGCATATAACCGCCTGCTAAACCGTGGACCGGCTCGCTGGCGCTACGATAGGCCATAGGCCGCAGAGAGGAGCAGCTATTTTATCGACCAAATATTTCTAAATTACCTTTTTCTGCCTTTTTGCAAGTTTAAATTGTCTCTTTTTGAACTCTCTGTTTCTTCCGTGCGCGTTGATTGTTGTTTTCTCGTTTTCCGCCTTTTTCAAAGCTCTGGATAACGTATTTTTTCAGTAACTAGGGTCAGAATGACGGAGGGCACGAAACTCGTTCTACCCGCCGGGCAAGCCCCCACCGAGATCGAGAAGCAGATCGCCGGCTCGTTGACTGATCTCGAGAACAGCAAGGACCTACGCGGACAACTCCGTGAGCTCTACATCGTCGGAGTCAAGGCAAGTTTTTCCCGCATCGGAGCTGTGGGTGGTCTGGCTTGCGTTTTTGCTGAAACTCTCGAATAAAGGGCCCTAGATGACGCTTGTCCTAAAATTTAGTATTGTTCTGTTTCTTGCCTAGTTTAACCCTAATCGGCGCATTTCTTTGGGTGCGCTTGGGTCCAAGGCAGCGGCGCTTCGTGCTTATCTGTGTGGGCAACGCTTATTCTCTTTTTTTAGGAGATCGACCACGGAAACAAGAAGATCGTCGTCGTCTACGTTCCTTTCCCGCAGCTCAAGCTCTTCAACAAAATCCAGGTTCAATTGATCCGCGAACTGGAGAAGAAGCTTGGAGGCAAGCACGTTGTCTTCATCGCGAAGGTAACGATTGTCCGGTTTCCTGCATACGTTTTTTCTAGCGACGCATTCTGCCCAAGCCCCAACGCGGAAACAAGAGGATCCCGGAGAAGCAGAAGAGGCCGCGCTCCCGAACCCTCACGTCCGTTCACGAGGCGATCCTCGAGGACATCTGCTTCCCCGCCGAAATCGTCGGCAAGAGGATCCGAGTCAAGTCTGATGGCAAGCGCATCATCAAGGTATGTTTTCAAACCTATCTACTTTGGCCATTTGTGCTAAGCCCGTCTACGCGCGATTTCGGTTCAAGGTCCACGGCCTATCCAGTTGGGCTTTGGTAAACTTGGTGTAAATTAGTCGTTTTGGTTTCGTCGCTATTCTTTCAGACACCAGAAGACTTTTTGAGGAATCTATGCTCGCCCACAAACTATTCTTGCCCATCGAACAGTTCTTGGACTTTAGCAATTCCCGCCAGGCATTTGATTTTGAATTGGAAACGTAGCTTCGTTCGGTACAAGTCCCTCAACGGCATTTCATAAACCAGATGCAAAATAATTTTCTTGATGGGGAAACCCCTGAACCGAACCTCTGCTCGTTAATATCAAAAACTTTGCGCTAAAGCAGCTCATCCGTTACAGTCTTCCCCAAATTTTATGCCTAGGTTTTGTAACTATTGTCGACTTTGTTTATATATGTTCTTTTCAGTGCCACCTCGACAAGCAACAGCAGACCAACGTTGAGCACAAGGTCGACACTTTCACCCACGTCTATAAGAAGCTCACCGGAAAGGATGTGACATTTGAGTTCCCGGACCCCCTTTTTGCTTAATTGTTTTTGTTGAATAAATTGTTATGAAGCCGTACATGCTGCCTTGCTTGGGGATGGGGTATGCGCAGGGAACAGCATAACGGCGCTACGACATGGAGGGCGGGGCGTCAATTTTCCGCGCGCTGGGCCCCAAGCCTTGGAGGCAGACTCGACGTCTGCTGATCGAATTTGGGCACCGATTGTTGTAAACAACATCTGTGGTGCCTCAAAGCTCCTCCCTCGTCGTCCACCGTTTGGCTACAGTCTGACTCACCCACGGAAAATAATCGCGTGGATGATCCACTGGTTCGCGCCGCCTCGCCAAGACAAATAACGCCCATATTTATGGCGCGTCTGTTGCGCGTAAAAAAGCTCGGTTGTATAATTTCGGGTCCTCGCGCCGAGTGTCTTTTCAATAGTGCTCGGTCATTTCAGGGACAATGTACGAGAATGGCTGAAGATTGGCGCTGATGGGACGGATTGAAGCACTTCTGCTACTGGGTATTCCAGTATTTGGGCTCGTCGCCGGCCAGTCTGGTGGGTTTTTTGTTGTGGTTGTCACGAGCAGATAATCGTCCGTTTTTTTCTTTTCGACATCCGCGTAAGGGGAGTAGGAAACGGTTATTGGAGATGAGATGGATGGGGAGCCCTTTAGCCTTTACCCGCCATGGCCAGGGCTTTAGGGGGCAGTTTAGCACTTCAGAAAGCGCGGAAAGCCGAAAAATAAGGTTAGATTTTTCCAAGAAGCAGTAATCTGGCTAGGATTTTGTCTGTGTCCCGTTTGGCACGGGCATATTTCTTGCGTCAGTTCACAGGGGGGCTTCACCCAGGGGACCCAGGCGCGCGCTCCTTTTTGGGTTTAGCACCAATTTTCACGCGGGATGATAGATGGGATTTTAAAAAGCGAGCAGGGCGCACTAGCCGAAATTGAACCGGAAATCGGGCAGTTCAGGAGGGCCAGGTGAACGGACATTCATCACACTTTCGGGGCGGCCCGGTGTGGGTTTTGGGGAGGTCTAATTGCCCCTACGAAATCTTGGATCACGTAGGTAGGGTAGCTGCCGCTTTGAAATCTGGAACCTTGATAGCCGGAAACAGCCAGCAGCCTAGGCGGACTCTAATTATTTGCACCCCAGGTAGTGGGTGAGGCTTTTCGGGGGGGGTAGTAGGGCCCCCGGAGGGCCCCCTTTGGCACCAAATTAAGAAATTAGGACACGGGGCCATGGGTTTGGCCCTGGTTGCTGACAGATGCAGCGGGGCCACCACCCCTAGCAGCACTTCCCCGCCAATTTACGGAAATTAGCGCTGATTTGATGGATTTCGGGACCCCGAAGATAAGGTTGAAATTTGGGCGTTCTAGATATGAGATTTACTAGCAGCTTTCGCGTTATCGGGGGGGGGGACCCATTTGTTCTGTTTAAACTCGAAGAGGTTTTCGACATTTTTTAATATTCCTAAACGTCAACAGTTTACAAACGACCATGAACGAAAATAGAAACGGTTTTCGACTAAATTTCCAATTGCAAACCTTTATCGAATTTTTAGACAGTCTTTACGTTTGAAATATTGTTAATTTTACTACCTATCAAGTACTTGAAAATACGCTACTAGGCCGATCTGGGTGCAGGAAAAATCCCCTCCCCCGATAATAGAAAAACACCCGCTTCGATAAAAATTTAAATTTTAAACATTTTTGCGAGCTTTCTAGATAGTTTAACGCTTGAAAATTGTTTTGCTTCTGCTAAAAACTAGTAATACCAGCCGCTTACAGCGGCTTTGCCGCTGCAAGCGGCTGGACTTCGGGCTACCCTTACCGCTCCCTCCCCTCCCTTTGTGATTGCTTTAGATATTTAAACGATTTAAATAACGAATTAAAATAATTAAAAAGTATTAAAACAACTGAAAAAGCTATCTGGGCGCGGGAAAGGTCTTGGGGGAAAGGGGCGAAGAGAAAGGGGGCGTGGCCTCCCGGGGAGAGGGCCCCCACTCGTTTTATTAAGGCGCCACTTTCAAAGTTAATTATTTTTATTTAAACAAAAACTTTTTCATAATTTTTTCATCATTTAAGGGGTTTCTGACTACGCTCTATCCAAATCCGAAGAGACCTAAGCTCTACCTCCTTTCCCCTTCGAGTTATAGTTGGCTTCTGACAGACAGACAGACAGACACCACTACTGAATTCTTATAGTTGATGATTGATGATGATAGCTGCGAATACGCTACTAGGGAGATTCGGACCTACAGACAAATTACCCCCGATAATACAAAAGTACCCTTTGAAACACAGATAGAACCTTCTAAAGTGTCATTTTCTTTCCAAAATGATACGATCTCTCCTTCGTCCTCGCTAACCGGGTCGAATCCACGAATTTCGGGGGCCCAACGGCGTGCTGATTGAGCCTTTGAAACCAGGGACGGGCCTCCTCGCCGCGCCGGGAGTCTGAGGCCCAAGCGTGCATAGGTGCGTAATGGAATCAGGGATGGGCTTCCTTCCTACCCAAAAGAGAGAGAGAGAGAGAGAGAGAGAGAGAGAGAGAGAGAGAAAGAGAGCGACATCCCTTCGCACCTCTACAGCCCATCACACGTCCATTCACGGCGCTCAAAAAGGACCTCGCAACATTTTCGGAGGCCTGAAAAGTGGATGACCATCGGGGGATCTCGAATATTCTAGTGTTGTTTTCGGGGGGTGGCTTTGGTGATGGGATAGTATATTAGAAGTAGTGGTAAAGGCTGGAAACACTGGAGAAGAAAACTATAAATGGTACTTTTGCATTATCGGGGGGTTTCCTAGATGGCCAAATCAGCGAATTAATTTCCTAGCAAGTATTTAATATCTTTACTAGTTTTTATTAAAATAATTCCAGCTATATTTCAATTGGAAAATTTTTTGGGACACTTACTGAATGTTTCGAAAAACCGGATTTTCGGCAAAAAACAACTTTGTCTACGAGGCTCTTTTGCATTATCGGGGGGATCTAGCGGGGAATATGCGTACTTACGTAATAAAAATATATTGCAACAGGATTTGTAAAAGCTTTCTGAAGTTTTTGTGGGAAATCGCCCATTTTGGCGTAATCTAAACTTTTTACCCCCGATAATGCATAAGAACCGAATAACAGAGTAAAAGTGTATGAAAACTGGCGAGATATAAGGTAATAAAGGATACTTTAGAAGACCAAGTGCCCGGAAGGCCCCAGCACGTGCACGTCAAGACTAGTGCAAATTCGGCGACACTTTGGTGGGAGCAGCCAGCGAATTCCGAGAATGTCCTGGTTCGAGGGTAAGAATATTTGATTATAGGATTTAATGTTATTTAGTAGAAATAGAATCAATATTTATGATATCTATATTTCTTTAGATACGCGGTCTCCTATGGCATCGGCACGCCGAGCAGCAAGATTGTGATCGAGGGCGCTGACACGAATTCGTTTACGATCGATCGATTAAGTAGGGTTTTTGGAAGATTGGAAATCTAGAGGATTTAGGATTTTCCAGAGGTTAAAAAGGTTATGCAAAGCTTTAAGGTTTATGTCATTTTTTGTGCCTTATTTTGGTGGCTTAATTCATCCGAAACGCTTCTAAATCTAAATTTCTTTTTTTTATCAAAACTTTCTGGTTGAAATTCTCGTATTTTTTATTACCTAGCAGGTTTTATTAGAAAACCAGCGCCCAAAACCCGCTTCGCGGGCCTTGGGCGCTGGAATGCGATTTTTGCATGAGAAATTCGACTTTCCGATAGCTCGGGTCCTTCGGACCCCTCCCCCCCGACCACGCGCGCGTGTGCAACTGGCAAGAATGAGCAAATTTGTATTTTTTTCGCATTATGCAAATTAGCCGTCAGGTACCCCCAAAAATGAATAAAACCGGCTTTAACTTCGTAAACTCGTATTTTATCGGAATTCTGAGAACGCCATTGGAAAGAGAAGGGTCGATTACCCCTAGTGACGGGAAATTAGAGCCTTTTATACACGGGAAGGCCCTCAAATCGAGGCTCGAAAGTGACATCCGCACACACAAAGATACGCGACCAAATTATATAAGGTAGTATTTTAAATCTATAACCAGGGTTGAAAAACCGCTTCGCGGCTTTTCAACCCTGGCCCCGTCTAACGCACATCATAGTGGCTTTGCATTCTTGGCTTTGCATAATTTTCCCACATTCGGACGACGAAAAATGAAAAATGCTCCCTTTGTTCCATTATATAGGCTACCGCGGCTTCCGGCGCATGTTAATTTGATCCTAACAAAGAGGGGTGTCGGGTTTTCCATGAAAAACTGATTTTTAATGTCGAAAATAGAAGATTTTTATAAATCTCATTTGCGTGCAGTCATCTCCAGGCCATTACGCATCTAATGACGTGTCAAACATACCCCTAACTTTCTCCCTTCTTGAGATACTGCTGGAACACGGTGACGGAAGTTGCATGCAAATGCACACACACACACACACAAACACTATTTTTTTATATATAGTAGGAAGTAGGATTTCTTTTAGAACCCGCCACGCACTACGTATTCGCCGTCAATGCGTATAATGAAGCGGATGGTGAAGATGGGGAAAAAGTGCTTTTGAGTGGAACGACGCTCGATGGCGAGAATGGTAGGGCTTTAAAAGCTTTAAAATTGGGTCTTCAAAATCACCCTAAACACGTTTATTTAGGCAATAAGGGCTCCTTCTCGCTGTGGCCACCCATTGCCGTCCGCGCCAGCGCGAAAGAACGAGCCGTTGAGGCAGGATTTTATAGATCGCTAGCCTGCATATAGTACAAACTTGTCGTTTTATAGTGTTTTCAGTAATTCGCGTTTCAGAAAAACTTATAAAACATTTTGAAGGATTAAAAAAAATTGAAATTTTTCATAGATTTTTCACCAAAATCCAAAGTTTTCCGTGATGTTCATAATCTTTTTAACGAGATTTTTATACTTAAATAGGCCGTAAAAATAAATCAAATAAAAATATGCTTATTAAAAATGTTCGACAGTATGAATTTCGATATTTTGAAAGTAGCCCTAAATTTTCAGGTAAACTGGGAAGACCCAAACCCAGAACGAGCCGAGGAAAACCGATTGGACGGCAATGGAAGACATTACATTGTTCAGTACGTAGTTTCCGTTTTTCACAATTACTGCGGTTTTTAGATACGGTCTCTACCAGTCGGAGCGCCACGAAAAAATTCGGGCCAACACCAAGCACATAAAGCTGGTGAATCTGCTGCCCGGGCGAGAGTATGAGGTGGCCGTCAAGGTCAGGGAGTTGATTATAAAGAAAAGTTGTTAATTATGGGAAATCGTAGCTAGATCAAAAGTATAATAAACTTAGCTTTGTTAGTTATAACGTAGCGTAAAAAGTATGAAAAGCTATTAGGTTTAAATTGTAGAAAAGGGTGCTTTTGCATTATCGGGGACTAACTTTTTTTCCTTAGTATTCAATTTTTCTGATATAAAAAAAAGACGTATTTCTATACGGTTTTTTACTATTACTAAACCCAAAATTTTACAACTTTTATCAGAAAAAATACAAAAATATGAATTGTGCGACCAAAAGAGTCTAATTTAAAAGTTTTTTTTCAGAGGTTTTTCTCTATTTTCACCTGGAATATGGTTAAATGTTACTAAAAATACTATTAAAATACTTGCTATTAAGTAACAAGGCATTTCCGGAAAAAATTCAAAAACTTAAATTCTGTAAGCTTCAATTCAAGCACGAAATCCCTCCCCCCGATATACGAAATCACCAAAAAGGACAATATTAAAATATGCTGAAAAGGATTTAGTGTATAAAATATAGGTTTAAAGTATAATTTTTGATGCCAACTTTCAGGTAATTGACGGGAACGGCCGAGAATCCCCTGGAGCATCCGAGACATCATTCTCACCCCAAAAGGTGCTAATTTTAATTGTATTTTTGATAGTTATTTTGGCCTGGAATCAGTTCGTATTCCTTATTTTAACTCTTGCAAGGCGCAGTTGTTGTTCTATTTTTAATTTTTAATTTTGTTGCTGGGACAGTTAATGCCCCTTGGGGTCAAAAATCCAATTTCTGAAAAAAGATGTTTTATGGTCACTGCGCCTTGCAAGAGTTAAAATAAGGAATACGAACTGATTCCAGGCCATCAGAACGCCAATGGCAGCATTTGTGCCAAAAAGCAAAAAATAAAAATCGTGAGCGGGTTCGAACCTTCAATAGATTCCCCATACGCCGCCGACTACGCCACTAGGCCACCAGGCCACGGTGATGGGGGAAGGGCGAGGGCTTATGAAGGTAGGGCGGTAAAAAATACAAAATGTATGCAAAAACTTAAAATGTTTATAACTCGGCTATTTTATAGTATGGGCAGCTAAAAGTTACACCAATCGATTCGTCTCGTCGAGTTCTATCAGTGTGCAAATTTTCAAAACGAAATTCGGTGTCGAGCTGAGACCATCTCCTTGTTAGGCAAAAAATTGGGGGCTCCCACAAATTTATGTGGAGTGGTGTAGCTCAATGAAAGATCACCTCGCCATAAGCGTTCTGTCGCCCCAGACAGTAAAGTACCAAGGATGATGGCACGGTAAGCTTCTCTTTAGCCCCTGGCGCTTGGGAAGCCAATAAATCGCCCCTTGCTATCCTTAGGAGGCGTTTTCCGGAAATTTCCGATATTTTTTGTATCGGTCAATATCGTGGACCATAGCCCGGCTGAAGTCCAAAGTTTAAAGTCCACGATATTGATCAGCCGAAATTTTGGCCTATATGGCCGATTTTAAAATCCCCGATATTCGCGATCGGTCCACGATATTTCGTAAGGTCCCCGATATTTTCTACAGGGTGTCCAAAAAATTGTTCCGGACTTTGGGCTCGAATAGCTTTTGATAGAAGAATATTTCACGGTGTGTTACCATGCCAGAATGCTTAAAAGTGTCTGGAACTCCGATTTAGATCAACTTGATTTTTTCGATTTTTGGCGACGTATCAATACAAATGACACCCGAAAACTGTGCGTTCGGGGAAGTTTAATTTGTATTTTTCTCAGCCGCCTGTGGTGGGGAGTTTCTAATTTTTGCTGCGTAAATTCTTGTAGGCATTAGATCGATACATGCAAAATTTAGGATTTTTCTAAGGTCTGGTTGAAAAGTTATAGCCGACTGAAGTTTAGTATGGACAAATTTCGTAAATTTCGAGTATTAAGAAAACCTATGGCGAAAATCCCAAACTAAGTCGTTGTGGATTGCCGACAGACGCTATACTATCACATAAAAATATTAAAGAATTTTTCGAGATCGGTCATTTTTCGAGTTTTTCAACGACCCCCTGGTCATGGATTTTTTCGAAGTGACAAAACTGAACTTTGAAAAAATATTTCTAAAGTTCCGAATCGAACCTAGGTGTTTTCTTTACTTGGTTGTGTAGGACTAGGGTCCATCTATCATGTAGACAATTTCTAGCTACCGTACCCCATTGGAAGGTTGCCTTTTAGCGCCGCCAAAACGGTTGGTTCGTGCTATTTCGCAGATCTTTGCGCCAGTCGATAATTCAATTGCGCGGCTAGAATTACTGTCATAATTTTATTTAATACTGCTTAATGGGCGCCTTCTAAGATTCTATTTACAAATTTATTGGGCCATCCGATCTCTCAAAAGAAATTCATGAAGAGCCAAAATATACCCAAATTCGAGGCGACGTAAAAAAATTCTCGAAGCTTTTGTAGCCCCGACTTTTCTGGCATAGACCAAGCTTGGGTAGTCAACTAGAACCCATGCAAATACAAAACCTTTTCATGGCAAACGAATTTAGAAGAGCGCCCCAAACTCGGCTTTTCAAAAACGTTAATTTCGGGTTTTAAATCAAAATTAACCATTAACTTCAGCCAGATCATACCAGAATTCTGTTTTCATACACTGTTGGATGCATGCTTTAATTGTATGCATCAAACTCCGGTGATTTTTTCTTTTTCAAAAATTCGGTATTCGACCCCGGCTCTGATTTCCAAAATCGGGCCCCGATGATGGTTTTCCTCTTTCCCTTATAACTTTGTTATTTGCCACAGAGAGTAAGCCATTTTCGCCTGCTTCCTTATAATTACTCAGAGAACATTCTAGAATAGTAAACTCTGCATTTTATGGCATTTTGTCTTGGCATGCTAAAACGTGCTCCAGACGGGTTACGGTAAAAAACAGAAAATCGTCGTTTTTTCGTTCTTTTCACCATAAAAACGTTTTGATCTTTCGGGAAAACAAATAATAGTAGTTTTTGGTCCCATGCATCAAAATATTTAGAAATTTCCGTGGCTAAATTCAAAAATAAGTTTTTTGCATATTGTGGGAAACTGTATGGCTAGAACTTCGTGAAATTTAGCCCATAGGTTACCCTTATTGGTGTTTACCATTGATAAAAATTTAAGCGAAATCACAGCTTACGATAAAAAGAAAAACGCTAAAAACAAAAACTACAGTATCCCTCTGGGGCACGTTTTAGCAAGCAATATTAAAATACCATAGAATCAGGTAAAATTTGGTGTTGGGCTAAGGATTATCATTTGGAGACACCATCTGCAAAAGATCAGCCATGGGCAGCGTATTTGAAGCGAGTTGCCAATTAAAACGCAAAAAGCTGCAAAATAGTGAAATTTGTTTTGCTTGTAAAAGAAGAACTAGGGCTTCAAAAATTCTAAGATTTGGGGATTAATTTTCTATAAATATCAGCTATTTTTGGGCCAAAATTCAGAATTTTCCCACCACCCAATCAAGAACGCACAATTTTCGGTCGTAACCAGCGTCAATAGTACCGTTGTGTACTCAAAAATCGAAAAAATCAAGTCGATCTAAATCGGAGTTCCAGACACTTTTAAGCATTCTGGCATGGTAACGCACGGCGAAATATTCTTCTATCAAAAGTTATTCGAGCCCAAAGTCCGGAACAATTTTTTTGGACACCCTGTATGGTACCCGATATTTTTTTATGGTCCCCGATAATTTCTATGGTACCCGATAATTTCTATGGTCCCCGCTATTAGGATAGAGCCTTATTTTCTATATTTTTTATATCTTATTTTGTAATGAATTCCAGTCCCGTATTGGTATCGAAAGGGGCACAAGCAGCCAAATCGGGGCAGGTTTCGCTTCTTCCCCCCGCAAACAGAAAAGAAAAATAAAGCAGCTTCTCGATGTTGTGGCAATTATTTTGAAGCAGCTTTATTTAAAAAGGGGTACTGGACTGTTAGCAGGGGGAATATGACAAAATATAGCATTGTTATAGCACTGTAAACAAGTTTTAGATATAAAAAGCTCACAAAAATGACTTTTCCAAAATGTTTGAGTTTTGGTCAAAAAGACCGAATTTTCGAGATTTAAAATGTTTAAAATATGTTTTGTAACTTTCTAGAAATTGAAAACGAAACGATTTAAAGATAGGTATAGACGGAGATACAAAAATTGGTCTTCCCCCTGCTAACAGTCCAGTACCTAAAAAGGGCTAAAATAGATATTAAATACCGTTTTTAGGTGGTAAGAGCAAGAACGAGACGAAATACGACTGGGCCTGCCGATTTGAGAGGGATGTTTGCGGGATGAAGACGGCTGGGGAGGGTGATACCGGATGGGCGAGGATGCGGGCCAATGGCCACAAATCAGGCATGGACGTTTTCAATTATTTTTATGTGTTGAAATTGTTTTTAGGGACACACGTGATGGCGGTCGATCCATCGGCTTCACCCGCCAGCCATTCTGCTCTACTCGTCTCGCCTACGTTTACCGAACTTCAGAATTCGCACAGCATTTGTTTGAGAATGTCGCTATGGGTTCGGGCTGGGAATAGTGATGGTAAGAAAGAGAAATATATTTATTTTACATTATCTATATTCATAGGTGGTTTTTTCGTCGATGCTTTTGCTATCTTGAAACGTAAAGAGCTTCAAAAAAAATTTTTAACACTAAAATTATCGGTTTTCCGAAAAAAATCGACTTTTTAAAAGCTTTTTAAATCACTAAAATACGCTTTTTCCAGCCGTTCTTTCCGTTTACCTGGAAGACGAGCGAACATCAATTCGAGCCGAGGTGTTGCGTGCGGAAGCCGCTCGATTTCCGCGTGACAAATGGGCCGATGTTAGGCTTAATCTGAAGAGACAGAAAGAGCCATTCAAGGTAGGGAGAAACCTTGGAAAAAGGTTTAAAAATACACAATTTTTGGTCGAAAACTTTAATTATTTTGTGTTTTTTATGAAAATTTTTAAAGATCTTAGTTTTAGGAACAGCAAGAAGTTGATATAGTGAAAAATCGTTCTATATGTTTAGGTGATCGTGGATCTGAGATGGCGCGCTGACGCTACCTGGACGGCACTCGATTCCATCTCGGTTTCTAGCGGTGTCTGCACGGATCGAGTCGGAATCCGACTTCCGCCGTATACAGGTAGGCTGCTATAAACAACGATAGCGATAATTTTCTGGCATCCACTCTTTTTTAGCTATTTTTTTTCGCTGCTTATAAATTATCGGGGGCCAACTTTTTCCTTCGAATCCAGTGTTTTAAAAAGCTTTTCTAATAACAATAAAAAAGTGTCGTAAACCATTTTTAAATATTTCTAGAAGTGAGAAGTTAAAAATAGTAAAATATCGATTTTCCACCGGTCAGGACCGATTTTCTATCAAAATTACGAATTTTTAAACGTTTTTCAGATAGTTTTCACTCGATATACAGGGTGGCGATTAATTACCTGCGCGAGAGAAAACGCTCGCTCTGAATTTTCCTTAAAGCAATCTCTGATCCATCTGCATTTTATGATATCACAAGCTATCTGACATTTTATGATATCACAACCACCAATATAGTAAAACCACTCTATCAGAGAAAATTTAAAGCCTGATTTTTGGGGTAAAAGCGACGCGCAGGTCGCCACCCTGTATAGTTTACGTTCACTAAGAACACTATTAAAACACAATACGCTTTTGGACTTATATTAAAAAATACCCCCCCCCCCCCCCGATAATGCAAGATAACCGTTTTAAACCAA